TCATGTATTGATTTAAGGTCTTCTCAAATGCCGTGAAGGATGAAAACGATACACCCACAAATTTCTCAACGAAAGCCACTTCCGAAGCCATAGCAGACGAAGTTCAAAGCCGAATGTGCGCCAATACCGAATGTGCGCCAATAATTTTCAAATGTCATCGAGTAAAACAAATCGCAAAAAAATAACGGCAGATGAGGAGGGTTTTCAGTCTACGCATATATGCAAAGAAGTGCAACATTTTGACGTTAAAGTTTTTATTTCGTCCGCAGGCGTTATGCAGAAAAATACATTGTGCGTCTAGCCGCCGGCAACGGAGCGTAATTACGCTCGTTCAGCAAGAAGTCAGCAGGTCGCGCCGGAAAATTGTGTATTCGTAACATTAAAACAAACGTCATGATACAATGTGAACGATAGTTACAAAGTATGGAGGAATGGTAAATGTGACAACGGATTACAGACACTACAGATGGTTGTGGAAAGGAAGGGATAACCAATCGCCGTCATTTTCCCCCATATAACGAACAGAACAAGGGCTTACTGACAAATCTTCACATTAATTGCTTCTGTTTTTAGTTAGGCCTAAGTCTCTTTATCAGTTTTTCCTTCCTTGACAAAAAAAAGTCTTAGGATAAATTGTGAGTGGTGGCGGTAAGGTATCGGTGGTCAAGAATGGCGTGATGGTAGTGATAAAGAAATTCACTAATTAGGGATTCCCTCATAAATAAACTCGGCCGCGCTTTCTTCTCCAGCCCGTAGCGGTGCACTCCAGGCCGTCAGGGTGATTGTCGAATGTATTCACCAGTTGAAACAGGTAACCCTGTGGACCTTCAAGGGTGAGGACAATAGGATCATCCTGACTGTTGTCTGATGTGCCGGTGCCGGATACCACCAAAGCATTCCTTTTGAGTTTCTATGCCACTGGCCCATACACCTCGAGATACCTGACAGTACCCATCTTCACAGTGAAACTATTACAAACTTGCGGCTGTGCACCACTAAAGTGTTAGTTTTCACCGACGCAAATGGTATCACCGATAAAGCTGACGATCCAGGTTTCGATAGCAAAACCATAAACTGTTAGGATATCAAGGTTACTTATATCAGAGTCCTAGATGTATGGGTACTTTTTTCATTTCAGTATCATGTAGCCATGTATCAAACCTGCAAACATCTGTATTACATTTTATGATTAGGAAATTGTGGGAAATAAGGTTCAGCAAATAAACACACACCGAATGCTACATTCAGGACTGTGAGCACTTGATTAAATTGATCTGCCGGCTATCCTTTGACCTCTTAGGTGTTTCTAAGCCTAGTAGAATGTAATTCTGACCACCATAGTCAGTAAAGTCGTCGCATCACGTAAACCCGATACCACGTCACCATAAGGGCACAGTTGTGAAAAGCGTCCGGAACTCAAAGGACAGCATCGTCTTCACGTGAGTCAAATGCACAATCTAGAGCACGTACACAAGCATTACATTTTCAGCTTCCCGCTATAGACTGGATCGGAACATCTGAACCGCAGTTGCCCTAAAAGAAACGCTTGGCCGGTCTTCCAAGTGTCGGTTAAGACCAACACAGAAGCGCGCCATTTTGTTTGACCACTTGGTGGTAGTGGGGATAGGCTTGCGAGATGTACCACCAAATGAACAACATTACAGCACCACCGGCGTAATACACTACTCATAAGGCTGCTGAAGACTCTCCGACCGGCCACGACTGATTTTGCTCTTCTTGGGGTTTTCTAAGAACGTGATAAACAAGAGATGCAACTGGGCTCCATGTGGATCTCCCATCATGCGTAAATTGATATGCAAGTGAGTGTATTTGTCAGTTAAAGCACAATATGCTCACTCACTTGGTGTTCGCACCTGGGAATATTTAGTACGCCGCTTGAAACGCTTAGTACTGCAACAGCAACCTCTGTATCACAATCAGCTTCGCGGGCATCAACGACGGTTGGTCGGTAAGCCACATAGATTACAGGAGCTATCGTCTGTGGGAGAAGGTACTAACCTAGTTTGTGGATGATTCTCCTCTAACGTTTTTGGTCCAAACCAATTGCGTACCAGCATCTGCCCTTGTACACTTAACTTCTCAATGCAAATTGTGGCTTGGAATGTCTTCAAAAGTCTCAGCTTTCCTTAGCTTGTCGATTCCCCCCTATCGGATCATTCTACACGAGATGGGAATGACTTTGTAATGAATGATAGCATCTTCTCGTCTGGTGGATAGCATTCAGCTGGTCATCTTTGGTGGATGAGAAACCAACCTGGGAAGTGTATGTAAATATGAAAATTTTTTAGCGGAACAAATGACTTCTGACTCATGAAAACAGGTGTATATAAGATAGTCACTATATGGTTGTGCCTTTAAGAGAAGCACCTTGGTCGCCCTATCACCATACACATACTCTTGATTCAGACATGTCTCTGGAGAATGAAGGAGATCACAAAACGCTTGGGTGCTGTCGATGCTACTCGCCTTTCAGGATGAGGACTGCGTTATCCTCACTGTGCCTGGTTGGAGACAATACAAGATATGGCTGCCAACCGATGTCAGTGGCGTTCTTGTTGTCAGTTTCTATCCAGATCGCCCGAGTGTGTGTCTGGAGGTATAGGCGCACCGAAATGATTGTGGTAAGCTAGCACTAAGTCTCTTCCCCGTCCAGCTTTACTCTTCTCTTTACAATAAGGCTTTCAACCAAAACATGGTTGCATGGCAGTGAAGCATCGGTGCTGATGAGGATGATGATGCTCTGGTTCCCAAATGCAAGGAAACTTACCATAGATGCATTTTCGTATCGTTCACATTTTGTTGAGTAGAGTAAAATTTGACAACTCAACTGGGGAAGTTGCGGGAGAATTCAGAGGATCTTTCCGCTCTATATTTGAGTTACCTTGCATAAGTCGTGTAGAACGTTTTGGTGGTAATTTTTGAACCAGTTATTACTTAGCAATCTGGCAAACGTCTACTGTGTCTGATGACGGGAATACAGCAATTGTGCATATTGTTTTCATAAATAAAGCATCGAACTTTTGAATCGATTTGATAGTATAAAACTCATGGCCTTAAAGTAACCATGTCTCTCAGAAATGTCAACAGGGTGGAGTACGAATATGTTCATAAGAACTCACATCAGTCAAAAGGTGAAATTGTTAGTTTGGATCTAAATAGTCCATTGCAAAAGTGATTTGAATGAGTGTAAAAAACAAATTGATCAGGGATAAAATGAAATAGTTGCCAGGAGGTTCCACACACAGAATGATCGCTAGGTCTTTCACTTGCGTTCCAATGGAGGATCGATAGTTTACCTTCTGGGCCACTATGTTTGCCCGACGAAGAATGGCAAAGTACAGATAAATTCCGCATATACGCAGAACGCCTGGATTAAAGAAATAAGAAGAGACATTCAGTGCAAATGAACTTACATCAGTTGAAAGTTTCATTGTGGCAACTGCATTCGCTGCATCGTACCAGGTTTTGTATGACTCTGTGCGAACAATCAGTTTATAGATGTCTTGTGAACATCTTTGCAAATGAAACATATCAAGGCCATTTACCAATAGTACTCGAAAGATAGACGCTTTGAATGCTATGGCCAGTTATGGTGGTTGTGGACGGCTATCCGGAATCCAATACGTAGCCTGGAAGTTCTTAAAATGGTGCACAACCATTTCTGTCCAGTGCCTTCTAGTTGACTGTTAAGATAAAGGACTATGTTGATGAAGCAGTCCAACACACCACTGAGGCATACTGAAAGTTTCGAACCCACGACGGCCTAACTAATAGTAGAAGGCTGAACAGTCCAGCCATGAACGGTTGATTCGTCGAAATCAGCATTTTCTATGAAAAGACTTTCATCATTTTGTTCAATGACTATGTGACATTTTAATATGACAATTCACTGGCATAGCTGAAGCATGCAGGACAGCAGGTCATCTGTTTGAAAATGCCCTAACAATCTGCGATACCGAGTCACGGCTCTCCTTAGCATTCTGTTCACTATGATTCAGACAAATGCAAGTAGTTTTGATTTTAGGGACCCAAAAGAATCCATCTGGAAGTCCTTATGATCTGAAGACGCTTCACAGTCGGCCGACACAAAGCATTCGTGCACCCGAAATTCAATTCACTCAAACTCTCGGTGTTGCCTACCCCAAAGTTCCAACATGGCACGTGTGATACTGTTGCACAGGAAACAAAAATGCAGTTTGAACTGTACCGAGCACATCAATGCAGTACATTTTATACACACCTACTCGTTGATTAGGGTAGACTCTTTAAGTTGAACCGAGTACCTCCACAAATAATTCGCTATACTGACTGATTCAAACACTGCAATGTTTATATATATATATATATATAATGATGCCTCTCGAGCTATATTAAGTTTTTTGTCAATGATTTGCATAGCTTCGCTTCACCTAAACTATATGCATGCACTGTCTCTTAAGAGAAGGGCTGAGGTGAAGATCTGTGCCAATTTGTAAAGAAAATGAGGGCAGAGCTTCGTTGCGAGATTGTTCGGAGTGCAAACTACATGATGCATCCCCCTATATGCATTTTCTACGATAACACACACACAATATGATGCACACACATAAGCATTGTAACGAAGGATTCCTCGTAACTCGTACGTGCACCTATTCGCAAGACGGGATTTGTGAAACGAACACACAAGAACCTCATAATACGGAAGAATAATCACACAGTGCTGATTTAAAGACTTACATAAGCAAAGCATTAGTCCTGTCATGCTAAACATCACTGTTGTGTCTCGTTTCTGTAGGCGGCGGCAAAAACTGCGGCGAATAACATCCATTGCAAGTATTATGATCATGCAGATTGGTTCCAGTGGCCAAGCACTCAGTTGCATCATCCAATAAGTTTTGATCTCCTCCCCTGGAACCGTCAAAATTGATAGTTGGACGGGGTGCAGCATAATTAGCTGGTAAATGCACCATGATCACTTCATGAAAACTTCGGTGAAATCGGACTTTTATTTTACCTCTCTTTGACTGGCATCTACCTAGACTAAACGCCACTCCTTAATTCTTTAAATGTAGCTCCATATATGCTTTGTGTGCATAGGTTTCCTGTTGCGATTAAGCCACAGTTTTAGTCTTCTCCACAGAGTCAACTAAGGATAGATGTTAGTTTAGCAAAACACACTCATTTGCAAACGAATTTAGTTTTGCGAGAAACTCACCTGGAACCCAGCTTAATCGCTCGTTTGTGATGTTTCCGGGCAACTGAATGTGCACAGACGAGATATTCAGCTGGGTTCCAGGCGAGTCCCTCACAACATCAGATTTGTTGGCAAATGAGTTTATTTCTCTAATTTGGTGCAATTCGGTTTCAAGTAGAACATAAGGTTGACGAAAACTAGGGGGCTGTGCCTACCTGATGGACCCCAAGAAGAGCGAAACCGGTGGTAGGCTGTCGGAGAATTTCAGCAACCCTATGAGTAGTGAAGATGTTGTTTTAGTTCAGGCACATTTGTCTCCTAAAATTAAACTATTCTGACGCTAGTAGCAAGTACCGCGATCAAAATCCAATATACCTCAATGAAATAACAGCAATTGAACAATAGCCTTGAGCGATAGTTTAGAGCGCGCTGGCCACACGTTGTCTAAAAACTGACCGAGTTTTCCTAGTGTTCAGAATGCTACATATTCGCGAAAAAAAGATAAATGTTATCTCAGTTTGTGGGAATAGTCTTACTTCCAATTAGTGCGCAGCTAACTAGTGCGCTTAATTAGCTGGTGTTAAATTTTGGAACAGGCTTCATAGTTCCGAGATTGGTGATATCAGCAAATTTCTGATTGACCATCAGCCCCATGTTTCCAAACCGGTACCGATCTACGAAAACGCGCCCTCAAAATAACTTTTATTTTATGTGGACTATTTCTTCAAGGCCTACCAGTAGAAGAAAATTAGTTAAGTAGCTCCTGTCGAGGATGACCTCCCTTTAGAGGGACTCCTTTTGGATAGGACGACTAAAACTCTGCATCTTGATATTGGCATCATCATCATCATTGTAGAAGAAATTAAGTAGCTCCTGTCGAGGATGACCTCCCTTTAGAGGGACTCCTTTTGGATAGGACGACTAAAACTCTGCATCTTGATATGATATTGATCATCATCATTATCAGCTGTAATAACCGCGTACTGGTCGCACACCGGTTGTAGCTGCCACAGTTTCGTTCACCGATGATTGGGGGGTAAGTAGCTGCGCATTGCACGCGCGAGCTGGTAAATTGGTGCATAAATC